CCGACGTTAAAGGTAAAGCGTCAGTTGTATGACGGCCCGGGGTTCGTCATGTAACCGACGTTTAAGGGTACCCTAAAAAGGCGGATGTTGACGTATGGTCAAAAGATGTCCCAAGACGTCAGTTATATGACTTCTTGGGATGAGACTGTGTTAGTCAAAGCACCATTACTCGTAGGAAGACCGTGAGTGTTTAAGGTGCCATTTGGGACATGGCAAAATTAATGCTATGATGCTAGGTCATTGCTATGAGGTTGCTAAGGGACCCAAAGTGTTTTTAAGTACATTTCTGTGTGGTTGCTAGGGTGGTCTGGATGGTAGCTACTAAAAAAGATCAAAAAGTTTCATGCAAATCCATGATTGCTTCCATGATGCTAGGATGTTGCTGAGTGATTCTAAATTTAATTTTAGTGCATTTTTGGGTGGTTTTTAGATAATTGATTACATACCAGATCAATGCAAAACTTGATGCCATAATGCAAGGGTGTTTCTATGTGGTTGCTAAGGAAGTCAGAGTAGTTTTTAGTGCATTTCTGGCAGGTTGTACCAGACTAGGTCAAAAAGGTTCATGCGAAACTTGATGCCATGATGCTAAGGTGTTGTTAGGTGGTTGCTAAGGGGTTTTATGATGTTTTAGTGTATGTGTGGGTGGTTTCTAGATTATTGTTTTTTAGCCCAGGTCAAAAGGGTACACACTTTAATAATAATCCACACTTTAACTTTAAACTCCCTTCAGTAGAGCCTTACTTTGTCAATAATGCATGGGTAATCGTAATTGGGATTGCTAAATAAGGATTGTGGTGTGATCATGTGAAATACATTGGAAACATGAATGGAAAAAAGATGTGAAAGCCAACTCCAAACTAAAGTCCAGAATGCATTAAACGCTGGAGATGCTCTTTATTACAAATTGTGTTTTATAATCTGTGTATTCAACTTTGGACTACTGCAGTGTTGGAAACTGTAATGATGTCAGCCCCTCTCTTGATTTCCACCCATTTTGCTCATGCACTCACACATTGATTTCCCAGTCTCTGTAGGTATCCGCCCCGCAGCACTGCAGGCCCGTCTGGATCTCATCAGTGATGAACCTCAGGTCCAGGTCGTCCTGGTACCGCACCATGGCGGCCTGCATACCCGAGCGCAAGACCTCCACGATCTGGCCTTGCATGCTGTAAACCAGGACCGCCGCCAGAACCTGCGCCACCAAAAGGAGGAGCACAGTAGCCGAGAAGGTCCGAAGAAGGCACATGTTCTCCCGCAACGCTCCCACACATCCCGTCAGGCTCAGCAGGGCGAGAACCAAACCGAGGAACGTGAAGAGCAGCATGGGGTCTGTGCCGATACCGCTGATCTTCTCCTGAGCAAAGGACTCTTTGTTAATCAAACCCCACAGGCCTACCACTAGCGTGACCAGACCGAGAGCAGTGAAGAGCAGGTTGCTCGTGATGAGGAGGTACTTCAGAATATAGTCGCTCCAACTGGATGAACTGTGAACCCGTGGAGTGAAGATCCTCCGTGATGAAGCTCTGATTGACCCTTCATGGCAGGATGAGCTCGAGCTGGTTTGACTTCCTGAACTGTCGTGCGTTCCCAGATACGTGGCCGCTGAGGTACCCTCTGAGTTTTTAACGTCTCCCTGATGATGGTGTAAGAAGTAGAAAGTTCATGAATTTGGTCAGATGAATACCCTAAAGGTGATGATACTCAGGGCAACTTTTTGAGCAATGTTTGAGCACAGTGCCCACAACCTAAATTATCCAGACAGAAATTTATTGAACATTTTCAATGGGAAAATGCCCATGCAACAATCACTCTGCAAGATTGCCCAGCAATATTGCTTAAAAAGTTGCCCTGTGTATCATTACCTTAAGAGCTCCTGGGCCAGATTCACAGAACAGTGACAGTTCATTCATAATAACCATATTAATAATAATAATAAGTTGTTTTTTATTATTATTATTAACTATTATTTCCAAATAGTTAATCAAACACTTTTGTTCAGTTGAATATCCTTAGACAGTTTGGACCAAATTTACAGTTTCAATGCATTAATAATAATGATTATTATAATAATAATAACAATAGAAACTTAGCTAATATTATTTTTACTCTGATTAACCATTATGAAAATTATAATAATATCTTTGCTAACTGTTGTTGTTATCATTACTATCAGTTTTATTATTACCATTAATACATTGAAACATTTGGCCCAAACTGACCAAGAGTGTTTCATTAAACTATTTGAGTAATTGTTATTATTATTACTATTATTATGTATTTTTATTGATTATTGTTGCTGGTGTTTTTGTTACTGTTCAATAATTTAAAATATTATTATTATGATTATTTGTGTAAAACTAATGTACATTTATTTTTCTTATTTTTTCATTTACTAATGGTAATAAATAAGTATAACACATTGCTGCATTTGTTATTATTATTATTATTATTATAAATAAAAGTAATATAAAAAAATAAAATATAAAAATAATAAATTATAAAATGATAAAATATATACAATAATAAATGATAAAAATACTACAAATTATTATTTATAATTTAAATTATTAATATTTAATCAAACATTATTTCCACTCTCTTGCCGCTAAATCGTGTATTAGAGGTAATCCTGCCTTAAACTCAAATCATAAGTTGTAACAGAAGTTATGTTACTCCAGAAAAAAGTTTCACTCTTTGATTTACATAATGTCTTTTGTGAATTGGCTGCTAAAACAGCGCTAAGTCACCTACAATCAACTGGCAAATACAAAAATGTAAATAAAATGAACAGAAAGCAGTCACTACCTTTGGTATCAGAGGTTTGTTCTCTCCATTCTGGAAGTCATTCCTCCTCCAAAAGAAAAATCTCCCAAAAGACGGAAACCAGCCCATACCTCCCAAATACCGGGAGTGGACCCGGTATGTCCTCCAGAGCGCTCAGAGAGGGATGCTGGTCGGCTGAGGGGTAGAGGAGACAGAAGAGAACGAGTGCGAGTGGGCCACGGCACAGCATTCCTGCATCATGTGAGAGTCACAGTACTGAGGATTACAGGGTCAGCGTATCAACCAGCCCTGAAGGCTCAAGCACACAGTGTGCAGCTCACATGAACGACTGAACGCGTTAGCAAGATGGTTCACTGCTCCATCACTATAAAGTTTATGCATGAGTTTATAGTCACAGGGACAGTTGTTATAGACTAAAACTGGTAAAAATGTTAACTGAAGTAAAGCTGAAATAAAATATTTAAACTTTGAAATATTAAATTTTTTTAAATAAAACAAAACTTTGAATGCCAATTATAAATATTGCCTTGGCAACTAATAGAAATGATGATCAGATCAGATGGTGATGGTTGTTTTTTAACGTAATCATTATTTCACAATCATTTGACCTGAACTCATATAGAGCCTAATTTCTGAGTTAGGTTTATTTTATTATTAGCAGCAGTGACCTTGTACAGTATGATATTTTTAACATTTACAATGTATTCAAAATAATTTCTTAAAAGTTTCTCTTTTACAAGTTTTTACATTTTTTTACACAAGACACACAGACATCAATAATTAGCCTGTGAATCTCAACAATGGTGACAATTATAAAGCATGTTGCAGTGCATTCTGGATGCCACCAATTAAAACTAAACCAAACTGCCCAACTAAACCAAACACTGATCACCATAACAGTGACTTAAAAATTTAGCTGTGTACATTTTTTATGTTTTACTGTTATAATATTTGTAACAGTTTAGGATTGGTATTTAATGTAAAATACTATCCATTACACTGTAAAAAATATTTTCAAGATTTGTTATCACAACATATTTTCTTTTGTCAAATCAACTTTATAATAATTTATTTAGTTGAGATAACTTATTATTTTGAGTTTCTGATGATTAAATTAATCTCCTTCATTGTATTAACTCACTTTTTCCAGTTCAATCAACTTAAAATTTTAAGGCAACCAGGTTACTTACTTTTTTAGTTAAACCATCATTTTTTTTTTTTTTTTTACAGTGTATGACTTTCGGTGAAAATCACTCTTGGAAAAATCCAGTGAAACTAGCTTTTCGCTAAAAGGGGAAACCTGCAGCTACTGAAAACATTGACAGTCCTCTGGAATTAAATGAAACACAAAATTAGCGTGATGCATGCATACACCTCATGGTGACTTTTCCTGTGGTTGCTTGTGCAGATGTGCTCGCTGTGAGATATCCCCCATGCTCCTGGATCTTTTCCTGCATGACCTTGGCTTCGGGTCTTCATTTGAAGAGGAGAGCGCAGCACAGTAGGTATTCCAGGAATGAACAGAGCAGATTTTTCCTTCTCACAGCTCCATCCAGAGCCAAATCATCTCACACCACCTGACTCCAAAAATATTACTCATACAGACACTGCTGTCTGTGCAAACTCCATAAAACTGTGCTCGCTTCGCCATGTCTGGAGCTTTGCTGATGCTTACTTTTGCATTATCTAAGTTTATGTCTGCTCCTATTTTTTATTTTAAAAGTTCCTAATTTTGTTTTGGATGTCTCCGACATTATTGAATTGAATTGAAATTGAATCAAAAACTTTAATTTTCTCTTAATGTGCATTGCAGTATCACCTCTTTTCTCACAGATTTTCAGAATTTCATTTCTCAAAATGGTTTAATAAATGATCTGGTCTCTCTAAACCACTCCTTTCCTAGAGCATGTTCTGCTATGATTGGTCAGATGACCCAGTCTGTTGTGATTGGTCTACTCTGCTATGATTGGTCAGATGACCCAGTCTGTTGTGATTGCTCTACACTGCTCTGATTGGCCAGATGACCCAGTCTGTTGTGATTGGTCTACTCTGCTCTGATTGGTCAGATGACCCAGTCTGTTGTGATTGGTCTACTCTGCTCTAATTGGTCAGATGACCCAGTCTGTTGTGATTGGTCTACTCTGCTCTGATTGGTCAGATGACCCAGTCTGTTGTGATTGGTCTACTCTGCTCTGATTGGTCAGATGACCAAGTCTGTTGTGATTGGTCTACTCTGCTCTGATTGGTCAGATGACCCAGTCTGTTGTGATTGGTCTACTCTGATCTGATTGGTCAGGTGACCCAGTCTGCTGTGACTGGTCTACTCTGCTCTGATTGGTCAGATGACCCAGTCTGTTGTGATTGGTCTACTCTGCTCTGATTGGTCAGATGACCCAGTCTGTTGTGATTGGTCTACTCTGCTCTGATTGGTCAGATGACCCAGTCTGTTGTGATTGGTCTACTCTGCTCTGATTGGTCAGATGACCCAGTCTGTTGTGATTGGTCTACTGTGCTCTAATAATTGGTCAGATGGCCCAGTCTGTTGTGATTGGTCTACTCTGCTCTAATTGGTCAGATGGCCTAGTCTGTTGTGATTGGTCTACTCTGCTCTGATTGGTCAGATGACCCAGTCTGTTGTGATTGGTCTACTCTGCTCTGAATGGTCTGATGGCCCAGTCTTTTAAGATTGGTGATTTGCAAACGTACATAGGTGTGTGCAGGAAGATAGGCTGAAATTACTGACACTTTGATCTTTAAAACTTCGCAGACCTTTTACATTCACAAAAGGCTATATTACATGGAAGGAAATAGTGTAATAGGAGCACTTGAAAGATTCCCTGATAACTAATTGATGTTGTGAAGGTTCTGAAGCATCACTATTACTATTGCTCGTACTTTTAGTTAAGGCGCTTTTCCACTGCATAGTACGGTACGGTTCGGTTCGGTACATCTCACTTGTGGTGCTTTTCCACTGCATGGTACGGTTCGCTTCAGGTCGCTTTAAATGGTACCTGGTCTGTTGAGGTTCCAAGCGTACCGTACCGGTACTAAAATGTGACGTGAAACACTACAGATCACTGATTGGTCAGACAGAATCGTCACTACCAGCGTCACTACTAGCGACACGAGACACTTTTTTAGCAGTATTTTTGTTTTGCTGCCATCAGCCTCATTTTAAACACATTTTTCCGTCTAGCAGTTAAAAACAACCACATACCGAGAATCAGGAACACCATCCCCTCGATAGTCTCCATTGTTCCTGTGTTGTGGGTTTGAAAATGTGGCGCTTTTAAGATGATGTCATGGCAGTAGAGGCGCGCGCAAATAACGATCAGTCCCACACACTTTGAAGAGGTACTACTGCAGTGGAAACGAAAAGCGATCCGAACTGTTCCGCGCCGAGTCGAAGCGTACTCGGCCGAACCGTACCATACTATGCAGTGGGAAAGCGCCATTAGAGATCTGAACTGGAACCATCTATGAAAAATAATGGAGGATCTACTGTATATAATATGTATCACTCCTCAGTGTATTCTTCCTCTTGACATTTTGCCTCTCAGTACAAGTTAATAATCACTCAGACAGAATAACTGTTAGTCTGGCATTTTTGTGGAAATCTATGATTTTTCCTTCATTGTTATGTTGATAAATGAAATCCACCTGTTAAATCTGGCTGTGGCTTAAAAGTGTGTGCCAATCTGAACACGTCAACCGAGATTCAATAGTGCAGGCTGTAAATTAAAAACAAAACATATGCATCTTTCATCATTCAGTTCTGCAGTTGCTTTGATGCTTGTTTAGAAGTATATAAATAGCCATTTTTGAAAATAAATTAAACACTCTAACGAAATTCAATCGCATAAGCGTAAAATTCAATATATATGACAGTAAAGGTTTCTAAAGTTCTTTATTTTTCTTGATTCTGCTTACTTTCTGGCATTAAAAAGATTTCCACCACAAGCAAAAAGTTTTTTTTTTTCCTCTACTTTTTCTCTGGCTTTTTCACTGGCTTTCCATTCTCCTTCATTGTCCTTCACCAGAAATATTATCTAATTGGAGATACAAATATTGAAAAGACTGTTTCCTTATGATGTGATGACTGCTTCACAATAATATGTTCAGATAATAACCACATGAACAGGATTTAACATAGAGTAACAGCTCACTACCAGTTACAAAAGACACTGTGACAGTCTGTCACAGGCATTTTTCATCAATTAATTTTAATTTCATTAATTTCATTAAATTAATCAACTTAAATTATCCATTGACTATGTTCTGGCCCGCTATCTTGTGTGAAAAATATTTTTTGGCACGATGCCAACCTTACTTGCCGACCCCTGATTTAAGATATAGAGTGAAATCTATATGTAGAGCTACTTGACACTTTTTCATTACCGCTGATAGGAATCTGATGTTTTTAATGTTTTCTCTGTTGTCATTTTTCTCAGAAGAGATGTGGCAGGCATGTGCATTTATTTATTTACATATTTTTGTCATTTAATAGGCAATAATTATGTTTTTTTCGATGGATGTTTATTAAGGCCTGTTCACACTAAAGATGATAACTATAACTAAAGATATAGTTCAGAACATCATTGTAAATATACAAATGAATAGCATTGTCCACACCACAACTATAATGGCATCATTGGAATCTCTTTCAGAATGATTTTACGTCAGCCTATAAACAATAAAAACATTGATGGCCAAATTGTTTGATTTAAAGAACTTGAATAGCCTACATAACTAGGGTTGGGTATCGTTTGAATTTGAACGATTCTGATTCCGATTCCGATTCCTTGTTTCGATTCCGGTTCCTAACGATTCTCGATTCCGATTCTTTTAAGAGGCAGGGTCAAAAAAGTTTAGCTAACCTTGCTAACCAACGGTCTTTCTGAAGGAAATAATCCTTTCTGAAGGAAATACTCCTTCTGTAAAAATACTCCTTTTGACACAAATTTTGCATTTTGCCGAGATTTCGTTATTTTTAGAAAAGTGAAGCCACACTTTGGATCACCGACGTAAGCTACTCATGTTTGACTCGCGTGGTTATGCCAACACTTCTGGTAGGCACTTCTTCGTTGGTGTTGTTCAGCGGTTTCTTCTTCCGCTCGGCGGACTGTGAATATCGAAACTAGGAATCTAAATTTTTACTTTTGAACGATTCCGGGAAAAACGAAAAG